GGGCATGTTGCAAGGAGGGACATCATATTTGGCAGAGTGGAGGGGCGGCAAAGGAGAGGGAGACCTTCGATAAGATGGATCAATTGTGTGACTGGAGCGGTGGGAATAAGTGCGTTTGAGATGGCTAGGTTGGCACAGGATAGAACAGCATTTAGAGCTCTTGTACATGGGGTCGCTATGAGTCGCAGACGACTCGATGGCACATAACAACAACAACAACAAACTATCCATACCCTATCACTGAGGTAGCACTATTTTTCACATACTCTAGATGGGGAAATTGATGCCCAGAACAAGCTAAGTAACAATGAATGTATGACACTGATATGTGTGCATCAGCTATATTCTTTCACTCTTCACAACAGTTCTGTATTCTTTAATTAACTCCCTCAAGTGACAGATGTGCAAGAACAAGATTTTATAGGTGATTGTGAGAGAGTCCCTGGCTTAGAAGACCTAGGTGCTACACAGGAAACTAATATCTCTTCTGACAATCTATGGACATAATTTCTAGTCTCCTCAAATGGAATGCCACTATTATGCCACTATGCATTCAGGAAAGATTCTTTCTGGCATTCCAAGGGGGTTTTGTGGTATTTATAATTCAGTTATAGGTCTTCTGGCTCAGATTCCCCAAATTATAAGCATTATTATAATTCTTTCTACCAAAAGCAATGCTGTCTGGTACACCACTGGTGTTCCATCTTTATCAAGTTTCCAGGGACTAAACCAAAGAGGGCAACTTGGCCCTGTCTATTCAGGTGGTAAGTATACATATCCTTGGCCCAGTAACTCCAATTTTAGGAATTTATCTTTCAAAGATACCTGTATGAGTGTAAAATTATAAACACATACACATAAAGTTATTCATTATATTACTGCTTGTAAAAACAAAATACTAGGAATAACTCAAACACCCCTCAACAAGGGATTAGTTTAATTAGAGTTCATTTGAATAGTGAAATGCTGTGAACAATAAAAATTATTAAAGTGGTCCCTTGTTACTGACTTAGGGTGATCTCTGAAACAGCAAGGTACTACCATTTGTGTAAAAGAACAAAAATATATGCACCTATTGTTTGTAAATAATACACAGAATATCTCTAAAAATTCAGGACACTGCTCACCACCAGGTGAACCAAATATCTAAAAAGAGTTGTTGAAGTATTCCTGTTTTGCCTTTTAGTTTTCAACTATGTGAATGTATTCAACTCAACTGCTCATTGCCATCAAGTTGATACCAACTCATAGCTGACCCTCCACTGGGTTTTCAGAGGCAATAAATTGCATGGAAAGACACTGTTCAGCTTCCTCCTGTGGAACCAACAGTGGATTCAAACTTCCAGAGAGGCGCCACTTTTACGGTAGCAGCAAAACTTCCAATCAAAAGTCTTCAAAGGAAAAAGAAAAATGTGAAGAAGAGCTGACCTTTGGGCTCGGTAGATGTATTTAGAGTTTCCTGTGAGCCGGTAAAGCAGCAAGAAGACATAGGCACTGCCAGCTACACCATGGCAAATTCCTGGTCCCTTCTTTAGCAGGCCCTTCTGCCAGGTGAGTTCTCCACACCGGATACAGGTGTCCAGGTACTGTGGTTTCTTGGAAACAAGATAAGCTTTGGCAAACAGATAGGCAATTCCTGTGAAAATACCAAAGATAATTAGAGGTGACTTTCAAGGCTTGAGACTGTAGAGAAGAGCTTTGCAAACAGTAAGAGACTCACCTGTCACCTTGGGTGTTGGGAAAATGCACATTTGAATACAGTAAAGTCTAGTAAATCTGAGCTGGGGGCAGAGATTCTGCATTTTTAACAAGCACCCTTCCAGGGACCACACTTTATGTATAGCAAGGATCTAGATTCTTTTAAAAATCAATCATATATTTTCTCTATAATATTTCCGTGTTGGTTTTTTATTATATTTCCGTCTTTTAATCGTATGGGAGGATTGGCCCCTGAAGAAAGAAGGGCATTTTTAATTGAAATGGGTTAATTTTTAACGAGGCATACTGTGGTAATTATTATGCCTATCTGGCCATTTGTACTGGCTGGATATTGATACAGCTTGCCCATTTCCCCAAGGGGATCAGAATTTGTAACCTTTAAGTACTTATAACTCTCTACCTTAAGAGTAAAACTGGGAGTCCTTCCAGGAAAAACAAAATTCCCAAATGACCTTGCCAAGACTCCTACTCTACTTGAAAAGTAAGTCCTTCCCAACTTGATTGTTCCAAGGAGATAAATTTTCCTTCAAAACACATCAACAAAGGTAATATCAATTGTAAAGTCAGGATTGCAAACAAGCAAAGTTACAGCTCTTAATAGAAACTATTTTCCCCAAGTTCCAGGTGCTTATATTCAGGGAAGAGGTTAATATTTTAAGATTAACCACTCTCCTGTCAAGCCTTTCCTAATAAGTAAAAATAGGAAAACTCTGAAATGTATTTGATACCCTGACTTTGCTCATCCATTTGGATTATCTTTGCCTGTCATTGTCTTTGGGCTATTTTACAATCCTGTTGAGATAGAAATTAACTTACAGAATAGTGATGGCAATATAAGACATTTCCTACAAAAAAAGGAGCACACATCCCTTCTGGCAGCAGTTGGACTGACATCCTTCTGTTTCTGTAGAAGAGTCTAGTTTTGCATCTATTCAGTAAATTCGTTTCAGCTTTCTTAACCAATTGCCCAGGTGGAGTCTATTCTGACTCATGGTAACCCTGTGTATTTGGGAGTAGAACTGCTCTTTAGGGTTGGAAAAACTGTGACCTTTCAAAAGTAGATTGCCCATGCCTTCTTCCCAGGGCCCTTTGCACAGACTTAAGCTGCCAACCTTTTAATCCTCAGCCAAGCAATCATTTGTACCACTCAGATACTCCTCAGCATTCTTAACATGCATGCTCTTGGGATTCACCTTGGCACTGCCTATCATAATCTTCTGGTTCCCTCATTAATCAATGAGTTAAACAAAGTAATTGACATATCTTAATTTTATATTCATGTGCGATGAGTCATGATTTTATCATTTTAAAGTCTATCCTTTATCACTCCCTCTGTTTAATACATTAACAATGGACTCTTCTTCTTAGCCAATGCATTCCAGTCAACCACTTTACCTTGAGCATTTCCTCCTTTAATTTTAATAACACTTATCTCCCACAACCAAAGGATGTTCCGCTTACTTGGAAGTGCTCACTGATTTGATGAACAGGCAGCTTCTGTGGGTATATGATCTGTACAGCCCCACAGGGCTTTGTGCCATTTTTAATAAGTTAAGGACCTGTATTTTAATGCTTAATAAAGGACCTATATGATCATTTTTTTCATAGGGTTGCTATGAGTCATGCTCGACCCGAAGGCAGGCAATCAACAACAAATAATATAAATATAAATAGAGATAGAGACATGAGAGAGAGAGAGAATATAAATATAAATCTCACCTACATATACATATAAACAATTGCTAAATATGACACTGGAGCTCTGGTGGCCTAAAGGGTAAAGGAATTGCACTGTCAAGCCACCAGCTGCTTTGTGGGAGAAAGCTGGACAATCTCCTTCCATGTGACTTACAACCTATAAAAACCTGCTAGCAAATTAGCTATGAGTTAGATCCGACTCATCAGCAATGAGTGAATTAAATAGGACACTTGCTCGTTAAGAAGGTACTGTCTGGAAAGAGAAGAGTATGTTCATGTGACTGATACAGGACTGTCATTCAAGATGCTGGTAGGGCACAACATGAGTGGTATTGTCAATATTGTTAACTCTAGAGGAATAAGAAAATGGGGTTTTCCATGAGAGTGTCAAGGGAAGCCTTAGATGAAAGGAAGGCCTCCTTGGTTATGTTTGGTTCTATGTTTGGTTTAGATTATGTATGTTGTTGTTGTCGTTATGTGCCGTCGAGTCGCATGCGACTCACAGCGACCTTATGTACAACAGCCCTAAACTCCGCTCTGTCCTGTGCCAATTAAACCGTCTCTGACACTCCCATCCCAATTATCCCAGTCACTGAATCAATCCACCTCATAGAGGGCCTTCCTCTTCTGCGCTGTCCCTCCACCCTCCTAAGCATGATGTCCCTCTCCAAGCACCGGTCTCTCCTCACAACATGTCCAAAGTAT